TTTTGTTAGTTGCACAATATAAATATGATCGTCACTTTATGTCACATTTAGTGTTAAAATCGAAAGTCCACTATGCTCTCTTTGAATGGGTATACTGAACACTTGGTTTGGGTATTAATTAGTCAATTTCCAACACACAGAAAAATAAATTTGCAAAACTTCCTCTTGGTGTATCAACAGGTTAGTCACTTTGAAATGCCCTATGAAGATATTTTTACATTTTCTGATTCCCATTCTTTATTACTTGAAATTTTGTTTTTTCGCCTCCACTTCCTGTTGCCAACTATCATTTACCTTTAGGGATACAAGGTAAGTATATATTGTCAACTTATCCTTTTCCTTGCACTGGTTTTTTTGTAGTCCGAAAATTTCTATTTCTATTACAAAACTTGGCATTCATAATAATTGATTTATTTTCTGTTTAAAAAGAAAAGATGATGAAATAACTATGGAAGTTATAATCAAAAAAATTGAAGGAGTTGAATAAAAAATTGAAGAAGTTAAAGAAGAGATTTGTTTGATATTAGAACCAAAAATTTAGTTGCACATGGATGAACTGATGTGCTTATAAGTAGATTTGGAGTGGATAATGTTAAAACAGTATTTATTTTAATTGAAATCAAAAAGGTTGTTTCCAACAGATGGGTGCAATCTGCACTGCAGTTAATTTCGGCTCATATGAAATCTACATATGTAACATTACATGTTCTAACCAATTTAGATGACGGAATTTTTCATGGATTGGTAGAAATAAAGATAATGCAATACATCAGGAAATTAATTTAGTGTAAACTTGCATAAACCTTATGACACTGACATAATATCACGTAAGACTTACAGTGCTAATGTAAGTTTTACACTTTTTTATTATTAAACTTACAATTGATATGCACAAATTTTTTTTATATTTTCCAGATGTACTACATTGGTTAATTATATCTCCAACAGATTCTTGTTCAGAATATGGTACAACACCATGTATTGCTGCATTGAGTTTTATTGATTGGTGGATAAGAAAATTATGCATGACAGAGAAATTGTAGAGATGGATTCTGAATCTTTGACTGTATTCAATTATCCAATAATTTCAAATGATATTGAAACAAAAAGCTGCCACCATCTCAAGATTTGATAATATGACCAACCTTGATGATTTTATTGATACTGTGGACTGGTGAAACAAGGAAAATCCAAACCTCCAATTAATCTAAGTATATCAGTAGTTAATATTAAATATTTTAATATTTCCTTATCTTAATTTATAATATTATATAGCTTAAATAGGCATTATCAATCATATATTATTTAACTATTTCTTAAAATAGTAAAATTATAGTTATATAAGATTATTAATTAGAATTAGTAAGCAATCATAAGCATCAGTCACAGTTCTTGAAATGTATAAATAGAGAAGTGATTTCTCTCTCTCTACATCTTTGGTTTATATTCACATCAGAATCAAAGATTCTAACATTCACTTGTAGCCTACCTCTTCAATAATAATAAAATATAATCTTTATAACATAATCCACCCAGGTGAAACTATCTTTTGTCTTGTAATAAACCTCTCTCCAATTGGGATGCCTCTTGGAATTAATTAATTAATACTCAGATCCAAATTATATTTAGGAGATTGTTGGACAATCTATTGCTGGCAGAAGTACTAAGTATTGATTTATTTAGTTTTAACTAATATTTTAGTAGGTTGATCAATGAACTCATTGGATGAGTGTTTAGGAATATTGTTTAAGTTTCTAAGGAGAGAAATATAGAAGTTTGCCTATACTACACAGTTTCAGTAATAGTTTCGGCAAATTAAAAATTTTAGTTTCAGTTTTCAAGCAAAATTTTAGGCATAATTATTTTTGCCAAAACTAAATCTATCTGCCAAAACTAATTTTATACTTTACCAGTAATTATTTTTTGGGCAATATTATATACAGAAAGATTCTTTTTATGAAATATACAGAACCTATGTGACAAATAAGGATTAATTCTTAGAGTTGGTAAACACTGTGTAATTCCTGCCACCCTCAGCCCACAAATTTAATAATCACGTCCATGATAAATGTCACATTGGTTTTACAAAAATTTGAGCTACAATTTAGTTTCCTTTTTATAGAATGAATTGCTATCTTTGGTAGGGTTCTGTATATAATATTTTCCTAATATCAATATATATTAATATACAGTATATAATCAAAAAAAAAAAATATAATAATAATTAATAATTAATTCCTGTCCTTCAATTTTACCATTAGTTATAGATTTCTTCATGAATGAATTACATAATTCTCTTGATAATAATTCACCTGATAATAGTTCTCCTATTTATAATAGTGAAAAAGTTGGAGAGGAGCATAATTAATTGATGATAACAAAGAAATTTCAATTATGTGGATCAAGATGAATAGGCTATTACTAAACTTCTTTGTGTAATTGCGATTCAATGATTTAATCTCGAAATAGCTCTTAGCTCTTGAAGTGCGAAATCTATACGAAATAGATTAAAGAATTTCAGCCAATGAATTTCTAATTCCGATAACACTATCAAATTTAAATTTTTATTGGTTTAAAAAAATAAATTCGGTTCGGTTTCGGTTTGTATGCAAGAAATTCGGTTCGGTTTTGGTCTATGAACTGAAAGTTCGGTTCGGATCGGTTTATAAACCGAAGGTTTCGGATCGGTTTCGGTTTACCCATAAAACTGAACCGTTAGGAGCTTTAATCACCAATCATAACTGTGCACTGGAAGATGGAGACTAGACCTATAATGTCTTAATCTGAGTCTTTTTCCTTTTTTTATTGTCATGCTGTACATGTTGTGGATGCGTGTTGGGCATGTGCTTCCCTATTATACACGAATGCAACACAGCTCCTCAAAAAATCGTTTTAAAAAAACCACTTCGAAAAAATATATAATTACTAAATCTGTCTGACCAGTATTGATCACGGGTGTCAGATTTAGATTTAATAAACTTCCATCCTCAAACAAGTGGCCAAGGTGTTTACACGCTCTCATAATCATGGGATATTTTCCCATGGATGGGTAAAATCTACAGGTTTGGAGGTGTTGACAAGCAAGTGGCTTTAGCTAATGTTTTCATTTGGCTACTTGGTTGACAAAAATGGTGAGGGAGGTCAAAGCAGCCAAGACAGCGAGAAAATTATTTTTCTTAAATGATCATGACCAAGAGCCAGTCTTTTTAAAGAGTCGTCCCAATAACTTGACACAGTGATTCACCGGTGGGTTTTTTTGTTAGCCAATAGCCAAATACCAGCATCAGCTTTAGCCATCTCTTTGACAATGAATGATGCAATTCCAACAAACTCCAGAGCAGAATCACATCGTTGTATCATCGGGCGATGCAGATCAGATTGGCGATATATGCTCGAGAAAGCAAAAGAATGATTGAAATGATTTAAATATATATAAGTTTCCATCCGATAACAAACATTGCAGATCGAATTTGTTCCCAAATCGTCCAAGCACACACAGCCCTTCATGAGAGATATCTCCAACAGCCATGTTGTCTTTCTCGCCTGTGATATTTCTTATAATATTAATAAACAATTATGCGAAAACATACTAATACCGATCATTTATCATGATAACTAATTACCCTCGCCATATAATGTAAAAGACGCTAGTTACTCCATATTGTGTTTTTTATATGGTGTATAGACTACTGCAAAAAAAGAAATAAAGGCATCAATTAGTACGAAAAAATAAACCTGAAATTGTCGGTAAACCATACAAAGCGTTTTTTTTTTTTGAAAAAAGGAGAAAAGACGCGTAGCATGTCGACAGTATTGGTGTGTAGCGTCGCATATGGAGAAAAAAGACGGAAAGATAAGAAATACTCATTGGGACTTCAAATGAGTAAATATTGTTAAGTTGAAATTTTTTAAAATGATGGTTGCGTGCAATTGTCATTCTAGTTTGTTAAGTAATGACAAAACAAAAGGGATATTTGGAAGATGATATGTACCCGTTACATTCGTGAATCGAATATGGTGTACGTGGGTGGGCAGTTAGAATTTCATGGAGACACTGGAAGATATCTAGACCTATTAACAGATTCAAAATTTGGTGCTAGACTTTCTCGACATTATTAATATTATTGGCTCATGCAGGGAAAGAATTTTTACCAGACGATGAAAGGCCTCATTTTAGCGAAAAAAAGAAGTGTGTGATCATTGTTGTTAACATTGTGAATAAATATCCTTGCAAAAAAAATTTATGTATTATTGCATTATAAAAGAAGCTTTTATCTTTATGTTTAATAAATAATCAAATGTTCTTTACATATATAAAATGTAAAAAAAAATGATAAATTTGCCAAATAATGAAAATAATAAATATTATATATATAAATAATTAATATCTACAAACAATTATAAGTAAAAATAAATAAATAAATATATAAAAATACAGTTGTGATTTTCTTTTGTTGAGCATAATCAATGACAATATTTCTATTTTTTTAATAAGATTAACTGTTATAAATATCAATTTTCATCCCCTTTAACACTTCGGTAGCTTTTGGTTGTCTATTTAAAGCTGCCAATTTCAAATATTTAATTCCTTGGTCTCGATTTTTTGGAACGCCAAGTTTTCCATTAATATACATATCACCCAAATTAAATTGTGCTGTTGGATTTGAATTGTCAGCAGCTAATTTAAGATATCGGATA